AAAATTTATTTTAAATTTAAAGAAAGATAAATAAAGTATATATTTAAGGATTTTGTATGTATTATTTATTTTATACTTAATTTGTATTAAATAGTTGTTATAAGACTAGAAAAACGATTCTTGCTACTATTAATAAGTAGATTTAAACTAAATGAAAACATTGGTTGCTACGACAGATGTATATTACATATGTTATCAATCTTACTCTAAAAAAATTAAATTAAATATATTGTAATTAAAATGATATTTGTATGAAAATGATATTGATGATATTGATTTAATTCTAAAAAAAATTTTTCAAATTTTTATAGAATAACTAAATATAAAATATATAATTAAAAATTATAAATAAATTAGATTATAATATTGAAATAATTTTATATAAATTAAACTATAAAATATAATTAATTTACTGTAGTAATTGAATAATTAAATATTTTAAAAAGTATAACTTTTGTATACATTGTGTGAATACAAATAAATTTCTATTTTTTAATATTGAATTTATATATAAATGATTAACGTAGTTTAGTTAGTGATTCCCTATACATATATTTCCGGTTAAAGTTCCCTGTCTTTTTAGCAAAATGGCTCCTAAATCGAAGCCCACGGATAAGTCAGGTACATTTAAAAATTGTTAATAAAAAAATTTTAATTTCTTTTGATAACAATTTGAAAACTGTTTTTTAAATTTGTAAAAGATGATTAATAAGAATTTATGAAGTGAATGATATAAATTGGATAATAAATTGAATTAATAAACACGTGTTTAATTTCAACTTTAACCATGTGGTTTATTGTTTTGTATGTGTATTGTTTGAATAAAATATCTACATATATATATTTTATATTCCTATATTTATAAAATATTTATTATACATATATAAATAATGAGTTTAAAAGATATTAATATTTAATAAATTTATTTTTTATGAGAAATTTTGTTTTTATTATAACCCAAATAAATATTCATAATATTATTTTTAAAATATATTTTGTTATTAATATTTGTTTAAGATATAATTGTAAATAAAATATGATTAATTTAATTATAATATTTTGATTATTTTATTTTTTTCTAGCTAGCAAACCAGCTGAGAAAAAAACAGAAAAAAAAATTGAGAAAAAACCAACTACTACAGCTTCAACATCAAAAGTTACAAAGCCAACTGTAAAAACATCTACTACTACAAAAAAAGCAACAACTGCTAAATCTGCAAGTTCAACAAAATCTACAACAAAATCAACAGCAAAACCTGCACCTAAAGTTGTTGCGAAACCAGTAGTTGCAAAACCTAAGAAAAATGTTCAACCTGCAAAGAAAACACCTAAAGGTGGAAAACCAGCTGTACCACTTCAAAAAGCACTTAAAGCTCAAAAAAAGGTTTTTTCTTTAATAAGTATAAATAACTTTTAATAAAAAAAGTTTATAAATTAAATTAAGATGAAATTTAGATAAATCATGATTTTTATGATGATTTATTAGGGAATCTCATTGAACAATTATGATAAGAATTTAGTTTATTACTGATATATTAAAATTATTTGAAATATATAATTGTTATAATTTATTATATAAATAATATATTTTTAACATATTTATTCATAGATATTGAAAGGAGTTCATGGATCAAGAGTAAGAAAAATAAGAACATCTGTGCACTTCTACCGGCCAAAAACATTTAGACCACCAAGAAATCCAAAATATGCTAGAAAATCAGTTCCAAATAGAAATCGGTAAATATTAATAATTTTATTTTTTATTTTTTTTATTTTCTATTAAATTTATTATCTATTACTTTTTTATTTAAATATATCATTTAATTTCTTATACATTAATTTTTAGTATTTAAAAAATTTTTTCTTGTAGTATGGATGCATTTAATATTATTAAATTCCCTTTGACCACTGAAGCTGCTATGAAAAAGATTGAAGATAACAATACATTAGTTTTTATTGTACATACTCGTGCTAATAAATATCACATCAAAGCTTCTATTAAAAAATTGTATGATGTTGATGTAGCTAAAGTTAATACTTTAATTAGGCCAGATGGTAAAAAGAAAGCATATGTACGCTTAACTCGTGATTATGATGCACTTGATGTTGCTAATAAAATTGGTATAATATAAGCATATTTATATGTAATTGATACGGAAATGTATCTATATCCATATTAATAAAACATATTGAACAAAAAATCTTATCATGTTTTTTATTTCATTATCGATATTTTTTTATTTCATTATCAATGATATTTTTTTATGATAAAAGATCAAATTGATATATTTTAATGTTTTTTTTAATATTAATTTAATAATATATCATAAAGATATACTTAAATTTATAGTAATAATAAATAATTATATTATTTTCATTATAATATATAATAAAAGATAAAAGATATTTGTATGTTTATTAGTTCATTAAGAACTACTTTAAGGTATACATAAGTTCTATTTATATTTATATATAAATTATATTTAGAATAAAAAGTTTTAATTAGAATGATTTTTTCTCAATTAAATATTCTATTATATTTTTTTATTTAGTTCAAAAACATTAAATATTGATTGTATATTAATTTTTATTAGAAATGTATATATTTACATATAAAATATATATACATGTTTAATAATACATATTTAAAATTACAAATAGGGAAATATTTATCATTAAATTATTTAAATCTTATAACTTACAATACATTTTTCTAATATTATTTAATAATAAAAATATATACACTTTGAAAAATTATAATCCCAATCTACTTGGAGTTTTTCGATAAGGAGCAGGTGTTCCTGGTTCTCTAATACCTGGTGTTAATATCTCTTTTCTATAAACAATGTTAAATAATAGTAAATAATCATAAATCAATCATATAAAATGCTAAGAAAGTAAATAAATTATAAAATATTAAAAATTTTTATAATAAGCTTACTTTCTGATAGAAGCTTGTTCACGTTCAAGTTGTTCTTGCGCTCGAGCTTTCATTTCTTCTTCTGCTTCTTTCATTTGTCCTTCCATTTCGTGTAAATGTTGCATAGCTTGCCGTCTCTTTGCTCGTCCACTTCGTCCAGTTTCTTTAACGCTAAAGAACATAGGACCTAATTCTGCCAACCAGTGGCCATCAACAGCAGTTACGCATTGCATGTATTCCTTAGCAGTCATTACAAGTTCATGATATACTACATAATCTGGTGTGAAGCCCATACCGAACAAAGCCGATGTTGGATGTAAATGGCACGGCATTCCAGTACGACAATTTACATATTCACCAATACCTTTTAAACGGGCTGCTTGATGGAAATATGCTGAACAAATACATTTTCGTACAATATCCCAATCAGTACCACAACTTACAACTTCCATTTTTTGTTGTTTTAAAATTTCTTCAAGTTGTTGCCGAACTTCTCTGACTTTACGCATAGCTTTTGCATGAATAAAATGATCATTACACCAAGAACTGGAATAACCATTTGCTTTCCATTGATTGTATACATTGAGATATGTTAGATGATCAGATTCTGGCACTTGAAATTTTTCTCTAGCTGAATCGGAATCTTCTTCGCGACCTTTTGGTCGATAAAATATGGAAGGCACTGATAACATAGAAACTGGAAAATATTTTATATTATATAAAAAATATTCACTACACATAAAAATTAAAAAAAAAAAGATAAGAAACTAAGAATAAAAGAAAAAGAAAGTAAAAGATTTTATTATTATATATATGATATAAATTCTTACTTCTAATATTTTTAAAAAATATTAATCACAATTTATATATTATAATTAGCTATTTAACATGTTGACTGCCACGCATGTTTTTAACGAAATCTCCTTCAGGCCACTTGCGCCGCTGTATCAAGTGTACTCCAATACTTCTATCGATATTTTAGTAATACGAATCTGATAGTCACAAGAATGATGTCTTGCATCATTTATTGCATATTATCGCATAATTTTGAATAGTAGTACTGATTTATTATTTACTGAATATATTTTGGATATTTTAATTTGGATTATAATTTAAATAATATGACTGTCGAATATCCTTCGACTAGTGGTAATAAATGTACTTCTTAGTTGTGAATTGTATATAAATTATTCGTGTGGCTTGTCTATTAGAAACCAGGATCACAGCAGATAATCGTGTTCGATGATCAGAGCACGATATATTCATAAATTATCTAATTGTCGTATCATCATCATCAGACTCGTGATACTCAAAAATTAGAAGATTTAGAGAATTATTAGCTGCAAAATTGATATGATTATCTGAAAATACAACAAAACCTTGTCAAAACCTTCAACGGAGTCAACATAATATCGCCATTCGGAAAAATAATTCTGGTATAAGTATTAAATTGCATGCAAATTATATTATTCAGATAAAAGACGACAAACGCAAAGGAATTTAAAAAAGACAACAACTTTTTGTCCAAATTATGAGGTTGATTGTCAACCTCAGCTTTGGGTAGAATGTTTTAAAATTTTACATTCAAAATAATTTTTTTAATAAATTATTTTATTATTTTTATAACAATTTAATAATTTTATTATACCGTGTAGAATATCTTTCCAAATACCTACGAAGATCGTTTATAAATAGACAAATAAGCGTCACCCGAATATGGATGACGCGATCCGATGAGAACTTTTGTTATCACTCGAATATGGATGATGCGGCAATCAACGTGTTAAATAGTTTAAGCTTATTAATATATAATTTTTATAATATATTTTATATATCTACCTATAATAAGTATATCTGCAGTACAACCAAGTTGAGAAGCAACTATAAGCATTTGACATTGTGGTGGATCTAATGGAAACTCCGCCATTTGTCGTCCTAAAGGCGTTAAACGTCCTGTATGATCTAATGCACCCAAAATCCATAATTGATATAGAGAATTTAATATATTATCTTGTGGTGGTGGATCCATAAAATGAAAGGCCAATAAATCCTGGACACCTAAAGACTTCAATAATAATACAGTATTTGCTAAATTGGTTCGTTGTATTTCCGGAACACCAGTTAATAATAATTCATCTAAATATTGTCTTCGTGTGTATAATCTATAACAGGTACCAGGACCAGTACGTCCTGCTCTTCCTGCTCTTTGATCAGCATTAGCTCTAGATACAGGATATACTTGTAAAGCATCCATACCAATTCGTGGATTATAAACTTTCAACTTGCAATATCCTGAGTCAACAACAAATACAATTCCATCAACAGTTAAAGAAGTTTCAGCTATATTTGTTGCTACGACACATTTTCGTAAACCTCCTTCTGAACGTTGAAAAATTTTAGCTTGTAAATCTGAAGGCAATTGTGAATAAATAGGTAAAATAGAAAGTGGAGGAGCTGATTCGATTTCTGCTAAACGTTCTTTTAAAGCTTCACAAGTAACTTCAATATCTTCTTGACCCGGCATAAATACTAATACATCGCCGGATCGAGGTTGTAAATGAATTTGTAACACCTGTTTTACCGCAGCATCGACATAATCTTCTACTGGATTTTTTGCATGTAATACTTCAACTGGAAATGTACGACCTGGAATTTGGAATGTTGCAGCATTTCCGAAAAATGCTGAAAATTTGCTAGAATCCATTGTAGCAGATGTTACGATCAATTTCAAATCATGCCGCCGGGCTACAACCTGTATATTTTTTTATATAAGTGATCACACATATACAAAAATATATTATTTTTATAATGAAATTATATATTTACCTCTCTTAGTAAACCAAATAAAACATCAGTGGATAAAGATCTTTCATGAGCTTCATCCATAATGATTACACTATACCGATCTAAATCTCCTTCTCTTAAACTTTCTCTTAATAAAATACCATCAGTCATATATTTAATAACAGTCTGTAAATAAATATAAAGTTATTTAAAAATATTTATTTTAAACTTATCCAATTATTATTTTAAAAATTCTAAAATTGTATTAATCTAAAAATATAAGACATACATCTTTTGAAGTGCAATCTTCGAAACGAATAGCATAACCAACTTTATCTCCTAAAGTAGTAGCCATTTCATCAGAAACTCTTTTCGCTACAGACATAGCAGCTACTCTTCGAGGTTGCGTACATCCAATTATACCATAATGACTATAACCATCTTCATGAAGATATTGAGTTAATTGTGTAGTTTTTCCACTACCAGTTTCTCCAACAATAACTACAACACTATTTTCTCTAATTACATTTAATAATTCTTGTCGTACTGCAAATACTGGAAGACTTCTTCTTTGATATTGAATAGATCTGTATTTAGCTTCTCCAGTAACTTCATCACTTCGTATATGACGAGCATATTTTTGACCAGCTTTAAAATCAGTTTCTTGTCCTGGATCTTCTCTATCATCTTTATGTCTATCACGTACTCCCATAATATTACCAATATGAGTTCCAGCTAGTTCCCAATGTTTCTTTTGTGCTCTTTTTCTTTCTTTTTGTTCACGATATGCACGTACTAAAGCTGATCCTTTTCTTGCTACAAGAGCCATATCAGAAGTAGGATCGCGCACAGGTACAACAGGTTCTGGTTGTTTAGTAAATACAATTCGACCTAATAAATCATAAATTTTGATTAAATATATATTTATATACAATATTAATAAATTAATATTTAATATATTTATTTATAATATTTTATAAATAAAATTATCAGTTGTAAGGAAGATATTTTACCATCTAAAAATGGTGGAACAACATTATGAACTAAGAGATGGACTCTGGTTTCCCCTTCGTCATCAGGATCATCATCATGATCTAAAGAACTTACAACACCAGATGTTAACATTCTATTACGTTCCCATAATTCATTATCCTTGTTAATTTGTCTTTGTTGTGCTGAAAGACGTTTTTGTCTCTTTGCTTCTAGCTCCATTTCTTTTTTACGTGTATATTCTTCAGATACATCAGCAAATGCATGATTTTCTCCATCATCTAAACCATACCATTCTCTGTCTAATCTAAAAATAAATATTTATTTCTTAATATATATATAATATAATATAAGAAATATACAAATAAAAAAAAAGTTTAAAAATTACAAATATTATAATACCTTTGTTGTTCTTCTTCCCATAATTCTTTTTCCTCTCCTTCAATGCTAGGTGTAGCACCACTAGCTTTTCGATCTCTATTCCATGAATTATATTTATATGAAGGT